GTTTTGAATTCCCTTTTCCTAGACAGAAAGAAAAGCGCACAAAAAAAAACATTCTTTAAGAAAACAAGAAACAATGTAGACAGTAGTAAATAGCCTACAGCTTAAGATCTAGAACAATATACAAATCTAAAATGAGCCATCCAAAACAAAATGGCATGGTAGGTCTTGTCAGGGAGGTAACCAACCTGTCTGTCTTAAGCCCATTGTTGGTTAGTGTATGGGCTGTTGCTATCACTCTGTAACTGCGCGCTTTTCAGCTTAAATATGTCAGTGTTCATTAATTATCATATACATTCATGCCAATATATATTACACAGGAGTTTTACAAATATAAAGCAGCTTATAAAATTAGACAAAGATATATGGATTTTGTATTCTCAAGGTTACTGAAATTACAATTCATGAATTGTACCAACTGTATCTATAGTTACTACGGGTAATGTTAGTGTGTGCTTATAAGGTTAAAGGGCAAAAGAGGAAAACAAAGAAGAAAAATATGAAAGGAAACTAGTGAGTAGTGTTTGAAAGTGGAAACAACTAAAACCCATTAAAAAAGGCGAGACTTTGATTACTGCATGAGAAAAAGAGGAAACACAAAATTGTCAATAAACATTCTATTTAAGCTGAACGGGTTAAAAATGAACTTATATCTTATTGCTGCATAGTTATCTCAATAATTTGTAACTCCATAAAATGAAAATGGTGTCAAGTGAAATCCATTTATTAATTTCCCTAGAGCCATAGATGCTGCAATTTGTGTTTAGCTTAGTAGAGCTTAGCAATGTTAGAACTTTTAAAAAAATTTGATTCTTTATACCACATAAATTTAACATTTTGGAAATATAGTGTTCTGTATAAGCTGTAACCATACCCCACCCCCACCTATAGATTTAGTAGTATATATATAAATTGATTTATTTGAGCCAACAGTTAAATTTTTTACAGCAATAGTAAATCAGTAATTACTAGTAAGTGGCTAGATGATTATCTGACCAGTAATCACAGTAAATGGCTATCATATAATGGAGTGGTTTAATGATACTCTAGCAAATTATATGATAGCATCATTCAGTGCATCACAATCTTTCCCTGCGAGAGACATAGAAGAAAACAAATATAACAAATTAAAGAAAAGGAATCACTAAAAAAGAATATAAAAACAATAACTAAATCAAAATTTAATGGTATACTAAGTACATACTTCGTATTAGTATACTGATCCAGAATAGTACAATTAAATTGAACGGGTCACTTTGTCACACAAAGTTTTCATGCACCTGTAAATACGTAGTATTAAACACAATGGATTCAATGTTCTAAATGGCGTGAGGCGTGAGAAGGCGGAAACACCAAGCCTCAATCCTTTGAAGCTAGGGGGAACACCAAACCTCAAGCCTCAAGCCTTTGAAGCTTGCCAGGAACACCAAGCCTCAAGCCTTTTACAACATGAATATAGTTTTAGAGTTGTAAATACTTCAGATGGTCCACTTGCTCACGATACAAAAACTAGGTTAATTATTAACAAAAAAGTCCGGTTGAAAGCTAACCATTTATTAGGAGATAGCTCTTTTTATCCCATGATTACTCATTAGTTCACTTGACCAATCTGCAACAAGCTAAAAAACACCAATAGTGAACTCCATTAACATCATGATCCATTGATTTGCTTAATTTTTTAAGCATACGGAAGAAAAATATTAATAATTCAAACATTCATGATCACATGATCCTTAGTGAGGGAGTTCTAGAATTGTCCATTCTAATAAGAGTTTGTTTAATTTGCCAGCTTTGATTGCGTTATCTAAATACAAATGTGAAATGGCTAGTGAACAAAAACATTTTTACTCAAACTACATTATTGAACATTGCTAAAAAAATCCTAATATCAGTTTGTATAGATGGTTTCCCAAATGAACAATACACAGAACCAGAAATTAGGTTTATTAGGAATTGTAGTCTTCCACCCAACATCAGGAGGATCAGAATTAGAAATTATCTCATTCCAATCAACAGAACTATATCCCAAGGGTTGCCTCTTTAAACTTTAGAAAGGTTATTAGAGATTACTGCTACAACTGAAACAAATTCTCATTGGCTCAATTTAACAAACACATTATAGGCATTCCAAAATTTACATACTATATTTGCTCCAAATATGGATATTTTCTATTGCTTTGAACTCCCAGATGTGTATTATTCAAGATATATCTCAAATCAAGGCCAAAGCATAAATCTTGGAGAAAAATTATATCATAACCCGAAGACAAAGTATAAAAAATTAAACCTAATGCATATTTTAAAACCATTATACCTACATATGTTAGGAGAGCGGGGAAGGTGAAATAGCAGCGAATGACTGACGGTAGCCGGAGGAGAGGCCGTAGCTAGGCGCATGAGCGGCGGTAGGAGGAGGAGAGAAGGTAGCTAGGCGTAGGGGCGCGCGGATGTCAGCGTAGGAGCACCGGTCGGAACAGGAGCGCAGGTCGGAGCGGGAGCGCAAGTCGGAGCGGGAGCGCAGGTCGGAGCGGGAGCGCAGGTCGCAGGTGGAAGCAGGACCACATGTCGGCGCAAGAGCGGCGGTTTTGATAGGATCTGTCTCTAACACAGCTTCAGCTTCTTTGTCATGACAGTGTTTTTGCCTTTGGGTTTGAGTTTGTTTGTGCGGGTCGCCTGCTAGGCTCTTTTTGTAAAAAAAAAAATAACACTCCATATTTAATTTTCATTTACAATGTGTTTTATAGCATTGTTTGATATTTATTGCATAAGTACGCTTGTACAATTACCCTTATTGTTTTTAGCAACACTTTGTAAATAAATGTTGCATAATACTTGATAGTTGTAACAATTTTGAATAAGTGTTGCATAATTTGAGTAATTTAGATGTTTTGCAACACTTTTATATAATTGTTGCATAATGTTAACTTTTGATGTTATATGTAACAAAACTAAAAGTGTTACAAAGAAAATGTTACAAAAAGTTAATTTTGTTGTAGTGCCCCTTTCTCCTCCTAAGCCTAAGGGACGATTATTTCTTCGGGTGATTGACCAAAATACGGGAAAAGCCAACAGGGTATGCTAATTTACGGGGATTTTTCTAGATTTTCCAAAAAAGCGGTAGTCGGATTGGTGAGTTCCGATTGGGGATTCTCTTTGGTCGGATTTCCAAAATCCGACAGGAATTGTGTTATTTTTTTCTCAACTGGCAGCCGTTTAATAGGGTGAGTGCTTAATTAATTCAAAACATTTTCACGCCACCGTTTAAGTGAGTGCTTAATTAATTCAAAACATTATTTGTTCAATGTCGGATTTCTCTCTTCCGACCATATTTTTTATTTTAAATATTGTCCAGTTTTGTATTTATAAATTTATTGATTTGTATATTTGTATTTCTGAATTTGAAAATGAAATATATGAATTTTGATTTTTTTAATATCAAAATATTGGTTTTTATCTGATAAAATTTTACCTGATTTATTTTATCTGATAAAATTTTATCTGATTAAATTTATCAGATAAAATTAATCTGATTATATTTGTCTGATTGAATTTATCTATTTATATAAATCTGATTATATTTTTCTGATTAAAATTTATTTTATTCAATCTACTTGATTATATTTATCTGATAAAAGTAATCTGATTAAATGTATGTAATTATATTTATTTGATAAAATTTTATGTGATTGAATTTATCTAATTATATTTAACAACTTCTTCATACACAATAGGAAAAGAGAACCAATATTACATTAGTAATTCGATTCAACACAAAAATTGAACAAATTATACATAACAAAATTACTCAGGTCCCCTCCTTCTAGCACACAGATCCATTTCATTAGTAAATCTTGATCTCTGTGACCTACCAGTTGTAGCCAATCTACTATCCATGATAAAATGACGAATCGAGAAATGAGGAAACAAAATCATCTGACTGTGTCGAGTACAGATAAAAATCATAATACGACGGTGGTTGATCAAAAGTAACTAGTTCTAAATTACTAAATTCGAAATTGTACTCTAAATCAAAATTATAAACATCTTAATCTTATTAATAATGCACATTTAACAATTTACTAAATTAAATAATATGAGCAAATCCAATAATTTGAGCATATATATAATAAACTCATTTAAATTAAATAATACTTAAATTTAACTAATATTATAATTTTTTTTACTAATTTACGTAATTCACAATCATAAATCATCATACTTAATTAAGTAATGTTTCAATTAACTAATCCTAATTTAAATCATCATTAATCCTAAATTAGGCTTCCTTAACAATAATTGCTAATAAAGAAATCATATACTTATATTTAATCATATATAAAGTCATTTGAATTAAATAATACTTACATTTAACTAATATTAATAATATCATCTACATGTATTTAACTAATTTACGTAATTTTAATTAAATACAACTTAATTAACCCTATGTTTAAATTACACCTACGTTTAACGTAACTAAATTTAAGGAATTTATTTCGTTAATTAATTAAGTATTTTATTTAATTACTTAATGCATTTAAATGCATTTAATTTAGATTTAACTAATAATATTAACAAAAGTTTAATTAACCAATGTAGCTAATTAATTAATTTAACCAATGTAGCTAAAATGAACCAACTAATTCATACAAAAAATATGTAATTAAAATTACATACCTTATCTGCATAAACAGGAAAAATGATATGAGATGGGTAGATTACATCCTTCAATTCTATCTGGATTCTATCTGGAGTAGATGGTGTGATTTTGTTGAATGAAGTGGAGGCCACATACATAAAACTTTTTGTCACGGACGTAGTCACGGATGTGTCCGTGACTACATATTTTTTGTACGATTTGTCGGTGCACTTTAAGTAATTAAATAAGGACTGCCGGGAAAGCTTTTCCGGTGACGGTTTTCGCATTCGCTAGCCCTAGGATCGGCGACAACAACTTAAGGAAGGCCTACGAGACGACTCCAAACCTACATCTCTTGCGTGTCCGTAATGTGCCCGATGTGGTCCCAGAAGTTCCTCCAGCGACTCCATTGACCGGTTACACGGACATCGGTGTTGAGCTGACGATCGATGTTACAAAGTCAAAGTTTGTGAGGCAGCCAGGGGAGTTATTCAGTTGGCATCTTCTGGAGCCTTACTTGCATGGAATTGCCGGAACAAAAGGGGTCAGGAGTGGGGATGGGTTTGAGCCGGTGGTCAATCGTGACTTTGCTTTGGTCAACAAACATTTAGACTATTTGAAAGAGAAATATGGCATTCCTGGGAAATGGTGGATTGAGAAGAATAAGGGAATGGTTCAGCAGAATGATGGATCTTGGAAATTTATGGATCATGAAGAAGGCTATATCCCAACACCACCACCATGACGTCGATCACTATATTACTTTAATTTAGTGACTCAATATATAAATCCTTTAGTAAATAACTTTTCTCTGTCAAATTAAAGTCCCTATAAGTACCATACTATATGAAATTGTTACTTCATTCTAATATATTGTTCTAAAATTGTTAGCTGCTTGAGTTAGTTACTTTGTACTTTCTTAACATCTTCTTATAATTCTGATGGCTTTAAATTGATGTCTTCATGAGATATGGCACTTAAAAGATCAGAACACTTAAATACGTTTTTATAAAAGGGATCCAAAAAACGTTGTGTAATCGGCTGTCACGAAAAAATTGGCTTAGAAATGAGAATCATGACATATCTTTGAAAAAGCCGTTGTGTAATGGAAAATAGTTTTGTGTATGCATTACATTAAATATATTCAAAATTTAAAATGATACATATGAGAAATTAAGAGAGACCATCGTTACTTGTCATTTATATTAGCATAAATAGATTTTTAGCGTAGATAGATCTGGATAATATATGAATGCCTCAATCCTGTAAACAATATTAACCTTTTCATGGTAGTGGTTACTCTTGATAGTGTAATTCAAAATAAGCATTACTTTGTTATAGTGTGTGCATGTGTATGTAATAAAGATACACATGACCATCCTTCTATAAATAGTGAGGATGACAATATCTACGGTACCTTCAAGGTACCGTACCAATGAAGGTATGGACCAATCAAAAAATTTCAATTCAATTAAATGCATGCTAAATATGGTAAGCTTCTATTTTGGCTGGGTACTGTAGTAGGCACTAGTGAGGATAGTACACATAATTTTAGTTTCTTTTGAAAAATTACAAAACCAGAGCGGTTTACGTACTTAGCACTTGATTCATATGAATGTTCATTATATTGCACTTCCCAATATTCACACCATTTAAAACATTTCCACGTACACATCATTCTAATATTAAAACCAAATAAAGCCATTGAACCTGGTCACATACTTTGCTCATTTCATTTATAGTCTATAGTCAGCAGATCTAACATCCTGATCATGCTTTAGACAAAGTGGGAGCGATCACATGTAGTATAATACTACCCCATCCCTTAAAACTTTGTCAAAGTTGACCGGCACGAATAATAATAAAGTAAAAATTTGGTGATTGAGGTTTGTTCAGAGGAGAATGAAATAACAGAAATCACAAAATAATTGATTAAAAGTAAAAATGACAAAGTTTTTTGGGACATCCCAAAAAGCAAAGATGACAAAATTTCTAGGACGGAAGAGTAATATTAATAGTAGTACTTGGCAATTTATAAGTTGTACGAATTTAATGAATTATCATTGTGTCATCAGCATAAAAAAATGTTTGTACTTTTGGAAGAGTGGTGATAAAAGCCATTGTGGTAATGAGACTTAGCACCAGCCAAATAAGTCCTCCGATGAATAGATCGCGGGGTGAGTGATTGAACACAATCCATTAGAATAGTCAACCTTTAAACCAAACGAAGTATACAGAATTCCAGCACCAACTAGGATCCTGCACGATATATATGTGCACTCATTTACATTTACGCAATATATATATATATATATATATATATATATATATATATATATATATATATATATATATATATATATATACACAATAAGGATCAAATGAGAAGAGTGCTTATCGTAAGAAATGAGAATGCATCTGGTGCGTTCATTTTAAGATCTGTGAATCAGATTAGCAAAAAAGTGCACGAGAAAGTGCAAAACATATTAAAAAAATGATGCTAGACACGGTGGCATATCCGTAATTAATCGGAACTTTTCTGTCATCGCAAAAAGTGCATCAGATTAGCGAAAAAGTGCATCAGAAAGATGCAAATGTGAAGCTTCCCACTTCTCACGTTAAGATGTCTTCTTATTAGAACCCAACCCTATATATATATATATATATATATATATATATATATATATATATATATATATATATATATATATATATATATATATTACGTATATACTATCATTCCATCATAGAGGGTTAGAGACCTACCTAGTTAATTAGGGTAGTTATGCATATGCCTTAGTAAATATATGTGGGTGCTTGTTCAAAGAAAATGAATATGGAGCACCGAACGACCTAAGATTTAAAGGCCAAAATGGTTGTGGCATTTTCGAAATGCTCCTCTCCAAACGTTCGGACAGGAGCCACCGTCCGAATACCGCCGTTTGGGGCAGTTACCGGTCGAATTTGTTGATGAAATTTTTATGGAATGTTCTTCATAAAGTCTAGTTTATCCACAAAATATTGCAGTTCAAAATTCGATCGCAAAGGCAAACAAATAAGTTTTTGAAGTTGACTGCGTTTTTCTATGTATAACTTGGCGCAGTCAACTTCAAAAAATTATTTGACTGCTTTCCAGATCTAAGCTTGAGCTTCAATTTTTTGTGGATAAACTAGACTTGATGAAGAACATTCCATAAAATTTTATCAAAAAATTCAACCAGGAACCGCCCCAAACGGCGATGTTCGGACGATGGATCCTGTCTGAACGTTCGAACATGAGCATCTCACTCTCTCTCTCTATATGTGTGTGTTGTGTTGTGTGTGTGGGGTCAGATCACATACAAATCATGCTTAATTTAGTAACCTACAAACTCAATAATATGCAACACTTTTAACTTCAATATGCAATAGAAATAATGTAAAGATGCACACTATGAACGTAAATATGCAATACAAATAATGTAAATATGAAACGTCTATGTTATGGCTTGAGTAATATGCAAAACTTTGAATTTCAATATGCAACACACATAATGTAAAGATGGTTTGCATGTGAGGACTAGTTTGTATGTGATTCCACCCCTGCATTTTTTCATTTTTTGTATTTTGTGAGAAAATGATCTTAGGAGAGAAGTGAGAATGAATCTGGATGGTTAGATTGAATTTTGTGAAATTAAATGTGCATTAAATGAAACTGAAATGTGCATTAGGCGAAATCGAAATTTGAAGCACAAAAAGCGAGTCACAGTGGTATTATGTGAATCTGAATTGTACATTAGAGGAAACTGAAATATGCACAATGTAAAACTGAAATGTGCATAATAAAAACTAGGGAAAAATGTCAAAACTAGGGAGTATTATCAAAATGTCAATTGAACCCACCAACTCAAATACTCCCTCCGTTCCCAAAAATTCTTCCCACTTTCCATTTTGGGCTGTTCCCGAAAATACTTCCCACTTACTAAATAAGGAAACTTCCTACTACTAAAAACCCTATCTTACCCCTTAAAATATTTACCCTCCTCACTTTTCTCTTTCCCACTTACACTCTAACCCTACTTTTCTTGTTCCATTCTCTCTCGCATTATCTCACCCCCTCTCTCCTTGTCTCTCACAGTTGCGATGCACCACCTCCCCTCATCCTCTCATCCCTCTGTGTCCGATGCATCGCCTCCCCTCCTTCTCTGAACCAAAATCCACAACCCTAGCTTATTTTGTTGATCTAATCGTCTCTTCTTGATTCAAATCCGTAAACCTAACATTCGACCTCCATGGATCTAGAATCAAGCTCTGAAACCCTATGTGAAGATCAAGGTCCATACTATGCTTGCATGGGCATCCTGATGGTGCCGGATAGTGAAGTCGAGCCAGATGATGACCTCGATGTGGACCACGGTAAAACTTCGGTGGACCTTGTGGTTCTGGACACCGAAGAGGCATCGCATGGGGACGATGAAGGTCCGATGGAGCTAGTGGTTCCGGACAGTGAAGAGGAGGAGAAAAGGCGGAAAGAGGCTAAGGAGAAAAGACGGAAAGAGGTTGAAATGCACCCAATACGCAAAAGTCCTCGTCTAGAAGCCTTCCTAAAGGTCATTCTACCCGGCTGGGAATCTAGGATGTGGGACGTGGATGTATGACTTCTTTCCCAATCAGGGGAGTTACTCTCTTAATCTCTTTTCCTATGTTTGACTCCTCTATCTTATTTGTCTGTGTGACATCGTGTATGGCTATTGTTGTGCACTTGCTTGTCTGCCTTGGCTTACATATACGTTGTGTGTGTAGTGCAGTGTTTGTTTTGGGGAAGCGATGATGAAAATATGGTGCTTCTTTTTTCTGAAATTGTTTGTAAAGAAAAAAATGTTGGCTGCTTAAAGAAAGTGTGATGTTTGATTGGTAATGATAAATGTGTGGGCTGGTTATGGAATGTTTGTGTGCGGTGATGACCAAATATGTCTGAGTTTTGCTTGTATGGGTGTTGTGATGAACATATAGGGCTGACCAATGCTTGTATGGGTGTTGTGTTGTCCATATAGGTTTGATCAATGCTTGTATGAGGGCTGTGATGACCAAATAGGTCTGAGCTTTACTTGTATGGGTGTTGTGATGACCATATAGGCCTGACCAATGCTTGTATGGGTGTTGTGTTGTCCATATAGGTCTGATCAATGCCTATATGAGGGCTGTGATGAACAAATATGTCTGAGCTTTACTTGTATGGGTGCTGTGATGACCAAATAGGTCTGAGCTTTACTTGTATGGGTGTTGTGATGACCAAATAGGTCTGAGCTTTACTTGTATGGGTGATGTGATGACCAAATAGGTCTGAGCTTTACTTTGTAAGAGGCTGGTATGCTGAATACTTAAATCTGGCTATACAAAATGTTAGGGCTACAAAATAGGCCTCTACAAAATGACAAAAATCTAGGCCTCTCCTACATATAGGGCTAGCTACTCCTATGAGTCTGTTGGCTTTACCTGTACACACTTCATCTTGCAGACTCTAAAGACCTGTACAAAAATGACAAAAAAGGCCTATACAAAATAACCCAAAATATTTTTGCAAACTACTGCACATCTTCATCTTCTTCAAGTATGAAATGCCCATCACTTTCCTCATGTATGCTTGTAGAAGAGGTTGGATGTTGGGACAAGAAGCCTCCTATGGCTTCTAGCAGTCCAACATCTACCTCAATAGAAATGGGCAGCCTCCCTTCTCTGATCATTCTATCCTTTCCCGTGTGTGGCAGCTTGTAATTGTTCCCCCCTTCCACCTTCATAACTTCTACCATGACATATTGATAGCTTAACCAAACCTTGTTCAAAGTGATGGGTGAAAGCTCATAGAAAGCTTCATTAACTGCATGTAATAGTTCATCAACATTTCTGGGTGCTTTTTGATCTTTCAATTACTGTATTGCCCTGAAGAATCCTAGGTCTAGTGTGTTAAGATCTGGGGAATTGGAGGGTTGTTGAGTCAGGCTTATATTGAAACCATTCTCTTGGGATGCTGCCATGTACTCTGCATCTGACCCTAAAATGTGTGGCCTTGCATTATCCTGTTGGATAACAATATCCTTGCTTAAGCAGTCTGGCCACTTTGCCTTAATTGCTGGTAACACAGTGTTGATTAACATGTCTTTGAACACTTCCTTTGTGATGCTACCTATAGGTTTTGTTTCCATCACCCCTGCATCTCTATTTTTGCTTCTCCTTTTGGCTGATACCTTTTGAATGAAGGGAAATATGCCTACCTTACCATCCCAAAGTACTTCACCAGTGTCTGAAAATAGAGGTCTACCTACTACTCCTAGGGACATGACCTTAGTTATGAACCTCTTTGACTTGCACACCCTATGAGGGTCCTCCTCATCCAAAGCCATGTAGTACCTCTGAGAAGTTTTTGACATGAAAAACCATTTTTCATCAATGTGTATCACTTTTTGAAAATTCTGGAATGTTGACTTACCTGGATTTGACTTGTCAACTTGGTTGTAACAGAACTGTACTCTGGAAACTTTGTTTTCATCTGTTAAGAAAGGCTTAATAGCATTTGTGTGACTTCTAAGCATACTTTTTTTCAAACATTTGTGCAAAGTTGTCTTTGAAATGCCTGTGGCAGCAGCTAGTGCCCTCATATTGGTCCTTTTATACAGTGGAATTGTAGAGATGGAGCTTATATCCACTTCAATTCTTTTCCTTCCTGAATTACCAGCCCACCTACTGCTTACATCTACCGGGTGTCCTTTCTGAAGTTGTTTTTTGGCAGTCGCCCATATGCTTGAAATGGATCTTCTGGAAACTTTAAATTCAGTTCCCAATTTACTGAACACACCTTTCTGAGCTACCAACGCCCCAAAACAATCTGTTTTTGCACTGAGTAGGATTTGATTCATGATAGTGTCCCTTTCCACATTTGACAGTCTCCTACTTTTGTTGTTGCTGACTGCTTCTTCTGACTCACCCTCATTTGTTATTGTGTTCAGGTTGGTTGGTGAAGAAGATGAAAGAGGAGCATTAATGGAAGGTGAAGGGGAATCAACATTTAGGGCAGCTGCCATTTATGGAAGAAGAAATGCTCACATTTATTGTGTGCGTGTGTGTGAAGTGTTGAGTGTTGTAATGAGAGGTTGGCAAAACAATGGGGAAATGGGAGTATTTGTAGAAGAAAACATTTGAAAGTCCCTCCAAAAATAGGAGGGAAGTTGTAACCGAAAAATTTACTTGGGGTGTACTATTCACCTTTTTGATCACATCTATCACATCCCACTTTATTTAATCATTCTTCATAGAAGTAACTTTTTTTTTACTCCTCCCCTTTTCGGCCAACCCCCCAAGGGTTTAATTGGAAAGTCAAAGTCTTTTTAGCCTTGCATTAAAAAGCGGTCCGAATCAAACCGGGAAGAATTTTTGGAGGGAGTATCACTCAATTAAGCCAAACCATTAAAAACGAGGCAAATCTTCCTATTAGCCTGTGCTCTTCTGGTTTCCGGTCAAATTAGGGGTGTGGCATGTGACTATGTGAGGTGGCACTTATTTTCTCTTTTACTTTTTCTTTCCTTTCTCCTTCTTTCTTTCCAACGCCCGTTTCCTCTCCGTGCGCTTCAACATCTTCCCTGCGCTCGTTTCTTCTTCCCTGCGCTTCAAGCCTTCAACTTCTTTGATCTGTTTTTCTTTATCATTTTCCTTCTTCTGTTTCTCTCCCATGTTTGCCGCTAGCGAGGAGTCCTCTTTCGTTCACATGGTTCGTCACCCTCACCCGTCTTCTTTATTTACGTGAGTGGACGTCGATGACAGGACACCACCGCCTAACGCCGCCGCCCCTGGTTCTCTGCCTCTAAATTAAAACTATAATACTACCTCCGTTCCCATTTTAACTTCCAAATGAGTTTGGCACAAAGTTTAAGATAGTGGATATTATGTGGTGGAGAGTTGTGTAGAGGAGAGAGAAATGTGTAAAAAATGTCCTGAACCACGAATTCTTTACCAAAAAGGGAAAGTGGAAGTTTTAATTGGAACGGAATCAAGCTCTTCAAACACTAACTATTACAAATGGAATCAAGCTCGTAGAAGCTAGAGATTGATGGGACCATATTGAAAAATCCCAATTTTGACGGTGATGACACGGCGAAATTGAACGTCATTGGCGGTGAAATCGAGCGATGTTGGCGATGAAATCGAGCGGCGTTGGCGTGGCTAAATGGGTGGAGCTTCATTTATGTGATTGGACTTAATGGCGCAAGGGAGAAGTAGCGGAAGAACCAGAGAAGTGACGAGAAGGAAGAAAAAAAATGGAAAAGAGAAATGAAAAGAAAGAGAAAGAAAAAGAAAAGAAAAAATAAGAAATTTACACATGTGTCGCCATTTGTCTACATGTGTGAAAATTCATTTGGTAACCAATTGGTTACCTAATAAAAACTCGTTTTGATCTTTTTTTCATAGGTCAGGTGTTAAATTGGTTGTTTTTTGAGTTTGTGAATTTAATTGACATTTTCAATATAGTAAAAGGGCTTATTTGACACTTTTCCCTGAAAACTACAATGTGGTGACATTTTTGTGCATTTTATTCTGCACATTTCAATTTAACATAATGCGCACTTGAGTTTAACTTTTTATTCCGCACATTTAAATTTCACGTAATGAACATTTCAGTTTTATCATATGCATAATTCAATTTTACATAATACAATCCGACGGTCAAGATTAATTCTCATTTCTCTCCTAAGAGTGTTTTCCCACTTGAACCACTCCCCATATAGGTTCTAGATCAAATAAAAACCATCATTAACGTGAAAACTGCAAATCGTTCATTTTACCCCTAATGTGATGCACTTAAAGGGTGGTGTGTTGCACTTTTTGAACTTTGATTGAGCCATGCTAAATACTCCCTCCGTCCCTTATAACTTTGTCACCTTTTCTTTTTTGGGAGTCCCACTGATAATCATGTAATTTCCATGTTTATGTTTGTGTTTTTAATTAGTTTTGATTGATTGTTACTTTGGAAATTACATGCTTTTGGTGTAATAGTTTAGTTTGTAAAAATGTTTGTAATTTGTTTAGATTAGATTTATTCTGAGTTCAAACAGGTCTAGCTATGATCACTCAAAAGACCATTGGTGAACCCAAAAGTGGAAGAATGTGCAAAAGAGCAAGATGAAAAGAGAAGATTGCAATTTTGGGTTGTACCCCGTCGGGTATGACCTATACTCGATCAGGTACCCACTTGTTTTTGCAAATCAGATCGGATCGTGGACAAAGGAACATACAGGGGAGATTTTGACCACGGTCGAGTGTCCATACCCGATCGGGTAACCGACGTACCCGATCGGGTAATCGACGTACCCGGTCGAGTATGTCCCACTTTTGCAGCTTCCGGGAAGCCTCTGAAGGTACCCGATCAGGTACCCTATATGCCCGATCGGACACACACCCCTGCATGCTCCAAACACCTATAAATACACCCATTTTCCTTCACAATAAAGGCACCAATTCAAATATACTTCTAAGCTCAGTCTAGATAAGTTCTTTCTTTATATTTTCATCATGTTTAGTCTCCAAATGAGGAGCTAAACTCTTCCATCTTGGTTTTGCTACTTTGAAGCTTAATGAATTGTAAGTTGTGAGTTATTTTTCTTTAATCTTCTTCCTTGAATATTAATTAAATCCTATTCTTATTTCATATTAATATTTTGAGCATTACTTAAAGGATCCACTAGTTTTGTTTCATATATTAATTATTACTAGAATCAATCGATTAATACGCTTGTTATTAATTCGGTTCTTCCAACGATAGTAAACTTGGATTATTAATGCATGCGCCTCATGGTTAATAATCTAAGGGGAATTAATTATATTGATTAAACCAATCAACCGCTTGTGTTGAGGTTATTAATCTCAATCGTTTTCATATTAAGTTTATTGCTACGTACTATCGGGTTAATATACGGCGTGTGTTCTATATTGACTCGGTAGTAAGTTTTATTAATGAACACGTCTCATTATTAATAACTACCCTCGATGAAATGGAGATTATCCTCGATTGAGTATTCGAGAGGAAGATAGTTAAAGATATAACCGGGATCGACGAACATTTCATTAAGTGGATAAAAGAAAAGCCAAGTCTTCATCTCAATTTTGTAAAACACATTAAGTCGTTCATCTTAATGTTTAAATAATTTAAAGTTCATCAATCAATATAAACCCCCCTTTGTCACTAGTTACGTAAAAGATAAATATTTCTTTCGTTGTGGATACGAACCTTACTATACTATGCTACGTATAAATGTTGTATTGATTAATTATTTTGAGTGCACATCATGACAAAGTGCACGTCACCCACTAACTTTGACACTTTCCCTTTTAAGTGAAGAATTTGTGGTTCAAGTTAATTCTCTCTCCTCTGCACAAATCTCAATCACACAGTTTTTACTCTATTAATCTGTGTGTCGGTCAAACTTGGCAAAGTTATTAGGGACGGAGGGAGCAATAAAAGATCGAAGGCATTTTCCTTATACTATTGAGGACAATAATCTCCTTTAAGCCCCTATTATAAAAGATGAACTTAAAAACCGCTGTTTTAACCTTAACAAACACATTGCTCCCGGAGTGATGGCTTTGATGGTTATTTCTACCATGATGTCTATGATATTATTGAATACTACGTACTCCCTCGGTCCCCCTAATATTGGTACGGAAAGGAGTGGTGTGGTTCTTTAAGAAAAGTAGAATTATGCAGTTGGTAATGAGTTTACAAACTGGAAATAAAGTAAGAATGAATTAGAGCCACACAAATTAAATGTTATCAAATATGGTATGAGACAATAATAAAGGAACATCCAAAAATGAAAAATAGGATAATTATAGGGGGGCAGAGGGGGTATGACTTATTAAATGATGTCAGGACTTCCTCCGTGGGGTTCCTATTGACAAGTCTAATGGTCACACTCTTATAGTACCTCTGTTTCATTTTAGTTAGCTATCTTTGACCTTTCCAGTCAAAGAATGTAAGTTTTAATCAATTACTTTAACTAATATATTTATGCATAATTTAATAATTTTATACTCTTATGATAAAATTTTTACAAATAACATTTTCATACTCCCTTCATGTCGGATAGAGCTTGACATTTTCTTTTGGCACATTATTTTAGTAGCTCGATTATTAGAAGAACAAATATCTTGCATGCCCTTAGACTTTTGAGGGGAATTAATGTTATCCACTCAAATGTAAAAAGTAGGTGGATAGTAAAAGAGATTACCTAAAAAGGAAACATAATTGAGTAAATGAGATGTCACAAAAAGAAAAGTGTAAAGATTTAAATGGGACGGAAGAAGTACCATTTTCATATTAATACTACTTATGTATATAAATATATAACCGATCAAAGTTAAACATCATTGACTTTAAACGCCAAGTTTGACTAACTAAAATGGGAGGGAGGGAGTAGCTATTATTGCAAAAGAAAAAAATGCCTCTCTTTTCTAAATTCAGGGCTATTGATCTTAGTAACTATGCAAACAACAGTTTTACTAAGATCATTACCATCCAGATTGTCACATTTTTTCCAAAAATTATTTGTGATGAACAATTTTAGGAAGAAGGCTTTTTTTTACGGGTAAAAATTAAAAAAGTTTATAGAAGAAATAGAAATCCTAATGATGTAACCTAGTGACATGTAAAGCCTTAATGTGCACTATTTAAGTATCAGAGTAAGACAAAAGTGATGTAACACTATTGAGTAATGCACTTTTTTGTTCGGATGTGATGCACTATTTATGTAAAGAAATTCACTATTTCTTTTTCCATTATTTATTATTTATCGCACACTTTTGCACTTCTAACCCTATTGCATGTCATATATACACCGGATAATTTTTTTCATTTTAAAGTCAAATAAATATGCGTAGGAACATACCATGATGCGAACAAATAAACTCTTGCATAAGCCTTCATGAGTTTGTGCACACTATCAATTCTAATGCCGTAACCGGCGACGAGAAGTCCATAGCTCGTAACATATACTTGAGCTAAAGTAATCATGAATGCTACAACTGACAAAGGCAGTACAATGCCTCCATTCACTTGGGCCCTACATTTAGCCGAACTCCACACCTTTGTGTTGGGTGCATGCTTTACCTAATCAAGACCGTGCATAACAACAAATAATCAAATACGGAGTATTACATACGTAGTATATGGAACACAATTGATAGATATACTCCCTCATCTCAAATAAGATTTTACTCATATCAAAATACATCATTATTTTTTAATATTCCCTATAATACTCTTAACAAAGGCATACTTGAAAGGACAATTAAAAAAGGTATTTTGTTTAGAAATCAGTGAAGTTAAACTAAGAACTGAAGTGTGGAGTAGGTAGATAGAGCAAATATTACTATCACACTCCCAATTTAATAATTTACAACTGTTATTTGATCATGCTACCAATCAAATAACTCATTTTTATACGGAGTATTTGATTTTACTTAATAAAAATCATATTGTGTGTCGTTAGACACATTCTGTCCACCAACATTCGGGATTTCTTGTGAAGTCATTTTTTATTCTTACATTTTTCGAAAACACGGAAAATTAGTTTAGGTTTGTTCAGCTCAGTGACAAACTACGAATACGTTTTAAGATGGTTTACTCGAGTACAACAATCACCGAATACGTTTTAAATTTGTTGGGTGTGTGTTGGTCTTATGAGGGATCATCACCACCATTTGATTCAGTGGCTAACCGCCCAACCTGTTGGCACCATGATGTGGTGCAGACCATCATGTCCATCCACCGCTCAGTAGTGGGGCTCAGCACTGCCGTAGTGAACTGTGGGGGGTGCCCCACAAGAATCTACATTGACTTGGGGACGTACTAGAGAGTAATGCGTTAAATAGAGGGTGTCCACTTCCTTATCACCAATTGGTTTTAAGAAAGATATGGCTGCTATTTAACCACAGAACTCTGCAGTTAACCGAACCCGAAGTAAGAAAGCCCGAGGATGGGTGACTCACTGGGAAGTTTGTCAAATCCGAAAAGGGGTGTATCGATCTCACAAGTTTGTCGAATCCGAAGAGGGGTGTATCGATCCAACAGTGTGTCTCACAAAACGAAGAAATATTAATTAGTAATAATTGATTAAAATAGCTAATGAAAAACGAAAAAAGAGATGGAACAAAAATAGCCAAAGCTTGTGCTACGCGCAATGTCCATAAAACGTATTCATTGCCTCCCTAAGTGCTAGGAGCGTTGCAACAATCGTTTTCCAGGATACATGATACGATGATTATGAACAATTGTTTGAGCACTCAACAAATTGTTCCAGCGGGAAAAAATAAAACGTTACGGGAAGAAACAAAAATTAAATTGTAGCTTTTAAAGACAGATTTTTGGACGATAGTCGTGTACGCAGGTCGCCCGCACACGCAAGTCGCGGTTTTTCTTATCCTTTTTTAGGAATTGATCGACACCCCCCATGCGCATGAAGAGAGCCTTTTCCACCTAAGAATTTTAATTCCTTCAAAGAGGGTTCCCTTTATAAGGGGGTGAAAATCCCTTGGGTTTTCCGGTGTGGGATAAATCCCACTAGAAACCCATCATTTTCCCAGTTTTTCTTATTCAACGAGTGAACTTCGAGAATCATTTTCTCATTCACCCGTTATCCGTTTTGAGTGTACAACATATCGAATTGTAGACCTTAACAAGGGCATCCAAAACCACTTTGAACCGACCAAAATCGGAATTGGACCCCGTTCAAAATATTTCCGCAAATTGACCATTTAATGCAATTTTAACACATTTTCCAACAATTGGAATGTTCGCACAGTGAGGGCTATCTTCTCATCAGAGGGGAGCGAGAGAACTTTGAGTATTATGATTAAGCTATATGACAGGGCAGATGGTGTTTTCTGGATGGGTTAAAAATGATATTTTCAGTGAAAAGCTACTACAAATTGATAATGATAGGGACGACTATGTCTGCTCATTGGATGGGGTGGACCGTGATGTGGTCATTTAAAATTCCTCCGAAATTATTATTATTTTTTTGGCAAATTGATGGATGGATCACTCCCAACTTCTGTTAATCATAATAGGAGGGGAGTCAATGTATCTTTGATTTGCAGGTCCTGTGATGAGGGGAAGTCGGCAATGCACATTTTCAGAGATTGTGCGGCGGCTAGTGATTTGTGGTGAGAGGTAGGATGGGGTAGCATAATCCGATGGATAGCTTTGACGCATTGATCAAGGTAAATTTGGAGGGGAGTGATGAAGCTCGGTGTGGTCGATTTATTGAAATTTTATGGAGTCTCTGGAAACGGAGGAATGGTATTGTCTGGGAAGATGAGAACCAGAGTAGTTTGGCGGTAGTGAGAAATGCAGACGCTATGATAGAGCCTTGGGAGGGTGCCTAAAGGAAGCAGCAGGATGGGGATAAAAGAAGTCCTATGGGGGCGGCAAAGTGGCAAAAACCTATAGCGGGGGCTATGAAAGTTAATATTGATGTTGCAGTAAATGAGGCGGATGGGATCCAGGCCTGGAGTTGGGTGGCCCGAACGGATCACAAGTCTTTCATAAAAGGCAACAAGTAGATCTCGGAGGGGCAGTTGGAGTCCAGCTGAGTCAAAAGCACTTGGAGTCAAAGACACAGTAGATGATGCATTGAAAGAAGGGTGGGGCTGTGTGGAATTCGAGTTAGATGCTGCAGGGTGGATCATATATTGATCTGTTATTTGAAGATATTCGGAGGTTGCTGAAAATTAAGAGTGGGGTTAGTCTCTCTTATTGTAGAAGGTCTATGAATCATGTTGCTCATCATACACTATCTAGGCAATGTGTGTTACTATCAGACCATATTAGCTATTTTGATGATGTTTCAGGCATTGATATAAGTCAGTTGCCAAACGATTTATTGGATTAATGATACAGTGTTTTTGCTTTAAAAAAATCTAGTTTATATCTACTTAGCTATAAACTACGTATTATCTTACTTTTGTACTTAGTTTTAACAATGAGAGATATTTATGTAATATTTTTTGGTAACTCTTACTAAATTATTTAAAAACACTAAACTTTAATATCTAAAAAGTAAAACAATATAAAATGGAACTGGAAACCGAACCGGAATCGATCCGGTTTCGAAGCGGAACCGCTGGTTTTAGAACCGGTACTGTGCGGTTCCAATTCGGTTTCGAACCATGGACAGTTCTAGGTTAGACTCACTGGGCTATTAATCACTATGGTACTACGTCGGGCGAAATATCATTTTTTTCTGGAAATCATCTATATTTATATCATTAGTTTCAGAATCATTACAATATCAATTAAAAAAACCATACCCGACACCAACTAACCTCCATCAACTACGACTATAAACCCTGCGACTATAAACCCTGCGATTACACATAAAAATGTCACACCTTAAAGAGCAACATAGATCGCTAACAACAATAAAACAGGCTTAACCACAACTATTACTAGTCCTAAAGAGCTGTATACTTCTAACGACATAAAAATAAGCTAAATTTCCAAGGGATGGTAAACCTAGAAACATAGACTTTACCAAGAATCCAAACAACAAAATAGCAATAACTAAAAGAATAAATTTCCCGAACCCTAGCACCTCATTCAATCATCGTCAGTGATTCAGGAGGAGGCCGAACAATCAATACTATTGTGATTGATCTTTCATCGTCAGTCGAACTCTGACCATTGCCAAACCCGCCGCTCCCCAACCCTCGTTGCCCCTCGTACGTGCTTAAGCCGCTACTGGCCGTCATCCTTGTCATGGCACCACGACCTCTCACGGGTGAAGCAGGATCTCTGGTCAGGGGCTGCACCATACTCACTTTCTCACCTTTCATTCTATGCTTTCCCGTTGTAGTTGAGCGAAAACGATCCCTAAAAACTCTAAAATCACCCACGAAGAAAGTTTCGCATAACCCAAATCTCTCCTAGACCAGACTAGGCTCCACCGCCGTATGTATTGGTAGTAGTAGGTGGTTAATAAATATGTGCCGTGTATCAAACACACCTTGCCGTAAGCATTAAGAGTAATCACTCCGTCGGAAAAAAGCCCTAGGGGACCCTGGGGAGAAGAGCAATCATATTTTTATCTTTAAAAAATGTAGAATTGGGACAGTAAAAAGACGCTCCTCCACACGTGCGCGTTAAGGACGGACACATCTGCTTTGCCATTTAGAGCACGCTTAGATTATTAATATTACGGAAAATGACAGAGAAGATACTTGTGATTTGTATTTTTTTTCAAGGACTGTTATTTTCCGACTTAATAATTAAGTCAGATTTTTTATTGAAAGTTTAAGTCATGCATTCAATTAAGTCATAAGTAAACATGACTTAATGATGAACGATTAAATCACTATTCTCATAAAGTCTATCAAGTGGAAAGTAATTAAACATCTCCGGCCTAAATGTTGCTTTGTACTTAATAGGGGCTGCATGACTGTTTATACCTTTGTACCTTAAAATTTTGTAATCTTTGAAGTTTTTTGGCCAACTATGTAAAACTTTTATCAATTACACTTTTCTAAAAGAAATTATTAGTCATATAAAAATGATATAAATATATTCTTTATTAAAAGTACTTTCACAAAAGTCTAAAATTATAAGTTGCATTACTGCATAATACTTCCTCTGTCCCTTAAAACTTTATCAACTTTCCTTTTCTGAATGTCCAACTAACTTTGCCACTTTCCCTTTTCAGTAAAGAATTTGTGGTTCCACTTAATTCTCTCTCCTCCGCACAAACTTCCACTATACAGTTTTTACTTTATTAATCTCCGTGCCGGTCAAACTTGGAAAATTTTAAGAGATGGATGGAGTATTACTCTAATCATTGAGAGAACTCAGAAAATGAATTATTCTCTAAATAGGACTAAATAAATCATTAATTGCTAAAATAGGAGTCAAAGTTCAAATTCTCCCAAATAGCAGCTATTTTTTGGAGTTGGACAGATATACCCTCAAGCTTGACAAAACAGGACACTGGACCTCCACCCGTCGCCGGCCGTCGGAGCTTACACAGAATTGGCCACCGCTGCACATCTAGCAGCCGCCGGTTCCGATCTGGCCATCACCTTCGTAGATCTTGCTACCGACGCCGTAGATCTAGC